TCACCTGCAACTCATAGTGACCCTATATACAGAGCTCTGAACCCCGCTCTGTCCTGAGCCAGTCTCCTAGTCTCCAACACACCTACCCCTATTACTCCAGTTACTGTGTCTTCCATCTCCTTGGGGTCTTCCTCTCCTGCTCTGTCCCTCCACTCTTCCAAGCATAGTCCCAAGTCTCCAAAGACTAGTCCTTCCTGGCCACATGACCAAAGTATGTGAGACAGAGCTTCAAAATCCTTTTGGTTTCACCCTCTCCAAGACAGAACTGTTTGTTCTCTAGGTGGTCCAAAAAGTCTACTATAAAAAGTTGAAGTTACATGCAATACTGACCAAATTACAAAACCGTAAGTTATCATTAGTTATAAGTAACCATTTGTTATATAGCACATCTCATAAGTAAGATATTCCTAGGCATTTACACACCATCTTTAAAGTTTCCCTGAAAAGGTAAAAACTTGAGATTTGTTGTTGTTGTTAGACACCGCTGAGTACAACTCCTAGCAACCCTTTAAAAAACAAATGTGAACCCTGTCCTATCCTGTGCCATCCTCATCATCTCTGACAAGCCTGAGCCCATTGCTGCAGTCACTGTGTCAATCCGTCCTGTTGAGGGTCTTCCTCTCTTTCACCAACCCTCTACCTCTCCAAGCATGATGTTCCTCTCCAATGAACAGACTCTCCTAGAAACCCATTGAAAGTATGTGACACAAAGCTTTGCCATTTTTACTTCCGAGGAGCATTCTGGACGCACCGTTTTATGTTGCAAGAATAAACTGTTACATATTTCTTTTTAGCTTTTTTCTATTTGTTAAGGACTATGATATGGCTATAATTTTTTAAATAAATTGTAAGTTTTATGTAGAAAACATTTATTTATGATATATCACCTTTTAATAAACAATAAATCCCCACAAAAATATATTTGATACCCAAAAGAAACAGTATCACTGACAAGATAACTGAATAACCAACTTATACTTGGTATATGTACTCTCGTCTGTGCACACATGCCCTCGTGTGTACACACACACACACACACACACGTACGTGCACGCTCCATCTACTGAACAGAGAGGTGATTCATTCTTTTTCGTCCACAAGCTAAAGTACAAACTATAAATCAAGATGTTCAAAAGCAACAAAATGCAGTCCCCAAATTAAGTAAGAGAGGCATATAATTATAAAAACTAGCATAATATCCAACTAGCCCTAATTACACTAGGTTAAGGAATCTCTAAATACAGGTGACATGTAACTTAACCATATATTTTTATCTCATTATCCATTTCGAAGTCAGAAACAGATAAGCAAATAAATAAGAAAAAGATTTCCCATGTGAGTTACAAATAGATGGCTTCATGTAATCTGCTTCATTACTTCCTTTCTAAAACAAACACAAAATAAAACAAAATGCAAATGTGAAGTGTGATAAAAAGACATGGCAGAAATAGAATGTATAGACAATGAATATTGTAAAAGATCAGGAAGAGCTCAATCTAGGAAGAATAGATGATTGAACAATGATCAGACAATAAGGGTATTGCAATTAACAACTTGGAACAGGTTATATACAACTGCTCAAGTAGGGAGGAGGGAAGGAGAGGAGGAAGAAAAGACGGGGGAGAAACAAAATAACAACAATGCCAACAGATATTAGTGGAGGGATGAGTCATATGAGGAATAGGTAAGGTGAAGTGAGGAACTGATGAGACGTGATGATAAAAGGCATTGGTGAAGTTCAGTTAATATTTCAAACCATAAAGTATATGACTGTATACAAATCACTAAAATAAAAATTTTTAAAGTTTGTGGGTTTGTTTTTTTTTAAGCCATGATAGATAGTGGATTAAGTATTGTTGTTGCTGTGCTGTTGTTATGTGCCGTCGAGTCGCTTGCAACTCATAGGAATCCTATGTACAACAGCCATAAACTCTGCTCTGTCTTGTGCCAATCACACCGTCTCCGACACACCCATCCCGATTACCCCAGTCACTGAATCAATCCACCTCATAGAGGGTCTTCCTGTCCTGCACTGTCCCTCTCCAAGGACTGGTCCCGCCTTACAACATGTCCAAAGTATGTTAGACGAAGCCTCAGAATCCTCGCCTCCAAGGAGCCGCCTGGTTTAACCCTTTCCAGGATGAATCTGTTTGTTTTCCTAGCAGTCCATGGTACCCTCAATACTCTTTTCCAGCACCACAGCTCAAAGGCATCAATTCTCCTTCTATCCTCCTTAGTCACTGTCCAACTCTCTGATGCATAACAAGTGATTGCAAAGACCATGGCCTGTATCATCAGATGCACCTTAGAATCCGGAGAGACGCCATTGCTCTTCAGTACTTTGGAGAGGTCCCTAACAGCAGACTTTCCCATCGCAATACGTCTTTTAATTTCCTGGCTATTGGTGCCAAAAGTGTTGACTGTGAAGCCACGCACACTAAAGCTGTGAACAATCTCAATCTATTCACCATCCATCCTGATGCTGCCAATTAGGCTGCTAAAATGAAAGGTCAGCAGTTCAAATCTACCAGTTGCTCTGCAAAGAAATGAGCCACTCTGCTTCCATAAAGATTTACAGCCTCAAGACAGTTCTACTCTATCCTCCAGGGCCACTAATTTAGAAATGACTCAAAAGCAGCAGGGCTCATTGTATGATATCTAGACTATCATACAAGTCGAAGAAATCAAATAGAATCAAGAAGAGGTGAAAGGAAATGTTTCTTTTTACAAATAGCTTAAAAACCACTTCTCTGTCCTCTCCAGTCAATATTCCTACTCATAGCAACCCTCCATCAGTTTCTGAAGCTGTAGATCTTTCTTAATTGGAAACTTCCCATCTTTACTCCCGTGGAATGGTGAGTGGATTCAAACTGCTGAAGAGACCTTTTGGTTAGTAGCCAACATCTTTTTAATCCTTCTTTTCCATTGCTGGTGACTCAATGGCACATAACAACAGGCAACCAGAGCTAGGAAAAACTAAAGACAAAAGAAGAACAGTTGTTCCAGCTGTACTATACTGTTAAATGCTGTCGAGTCGAATTTTTCAGAAATATCATAGTAAGTAAAATTTCTGATCAATCCAGGCCTAATTTCATTTATTTTTGTTGTCTCCTGGTAGATTTAACAATAGGATTACAATGGATATTTTAACAACTAGCTATTGAACAATCTCCTGAACTTATAAAAGATATTAATATATGTAGAAACTGAATAAAGAATGTATAGAAACTGCATACTATCATTTGGATTCTTCTGTAAATCTAAAATTATTTCTAAATAACCACAAGAAAAGAAAAAAAATTTTTTAAATGGTGATACTGCACCTCCTATGTTGGTCAACACATTCATTGTTATTAAACTTGAATTTTTTTAAAAAATGTGTGGCTTGTGTGAGTTACAGCACAATCAACAAGCAACACATATTTTTAGTATTCCCAGTTCTTTTTGTTTCTCCAGTTCTTTTTTATCCCTTCTCTCTTCTCCAATTTATTACCAATTTAGTCTTGTTTCGTAGTCTTTCCTACCTTTTCCTTACAACCTGTCTAAATTCTTATACTTCAAGATTTCTCAAAGTGCCCTCTTTCTTCCCAGCTATCCTGCCACAAATTGATCTGGCATAAAACATGTCACATAACAAACCTTAATATCTTGTAGTAACATGATAATTAACAATTTTCAGGGTGTTTCTGCATGCATTTATACACATTAATTTTGAAGTGTGCACTGCAAAACAATTGCTATCATTATTTTATGGCTAAAAGTATAAAACTGAAAATATTAAATGCTTTGACATTTACTAAAAACCTGAGTCTGGATTTCAAGGCTTTCCTGACTCTATGACGAAGTGCGGATATTTTTTAAAGTGCTCCAAATTTAATGACAATTCAACTCTCCTGGCTCCAGGTAGACTAATGACATTTAACACACCACCATTTTAACAAGGTTCCACATTTCACTATTGCCCTAAATATCCTTTTTTCAAGCTGAAAGGTCTAACTACCATCAAGAATTCTAGAAATCAGTGGGAAAACTTCGCCTTAACTATAACCTTTATAATTTTTTTTAAACGTTACTTTTAAAAAGTAACGAGGTTTTCAGCCATTAATGTTTTAGGCTGAAAAACAGCTTACCTCTACTCTCACTGCAAAGCTGCCATGTGCTTACGTGAGAAAATTCTATAATGTCCAATTCTATTAAGTTGATACATGCGGACAATCATGCTGGGCTTCTAGCCCCAGGATCTACTCTAAGTTTCTTTTTTCTCCATCCATTAAAAAAAAAAAAGTAAAGACTAAATCTTCAATGTATGTGTCTGTTTAAGATTTAGTGCAACAGTGCAAGGCAATAAAAGAACACGTGAACTGATAACATAGACAAATGACTCAAATTCTGACCAGCACGTTTCTCCTTCGCTGCATGTAGTTCCCCACATAATCTTTTATACAGTTACTTGATTTCTCTGCTACATGTAGTTCCCTACATAATCTTTTATACAGTTATTTCTCTATTAGTGAAGTAAGAAAATTACTAAAATCCAACAAAGAAGGCTGGGATTAAGAACAATCAATTATGGGCATTAACCTCTCACTGAAAACTGAGTAATCAAAGAGCATTAGTTTCACGGGCCGGGGCAAAGGGCTGCCAGAGAGTGACTTCTTTGGAGCATTCCTCAGTGACTGATTCCAGCTCGGGACCTGCCATTCCCACCCTCAAGCTCCTGGCATCAGCAAGCAAGCTGAACAGAATCGGAAAGGCTACCATAACGGGATCTGCTCCCGTCATGGGATCTGAACCCGAGGGAAACGCCGGGATCTAACTTCTAGGAGTGTTGTGTGAACAGCTTTACGATGTTTAAGTCTGAAAAATGGGCTGCTGCTCTGCTTGATCCTGCCTACAGAGCCTGCAGGATTAGCTCGAACAGCCGACCTCAGGGATAAACTGGGGAAGCAAACTGGAACTCTTAAGTTCTAGGGAGCGACATAAAAGAAGGCGACACTTGCCTCCCACTCCTGTAGGAAGCGCTGGGCCTCATCAGAACCAACGGCCTTATGTCTCCTAAATTCATCCTTCACGTACTGGTCCCCCAGGGATTTGAGGTCTGGGGGCAGAACGCGATGTAACTGCAAGATGCGACGATACAAGGCCCTGACACGAAAGGCATGCCCAGCCGGCATCGTTCGGCCGGTGGACTTCCCAACTACGCCTGCGCAAAGAGCTGCGCACGCCTCCGCTGTGTGGCTCCACTTCACTGGCAAGCCAAGCATTGGAGGACTAGAAAGTGGGCGGAAGAAGGCGAGCGACCTTCATCCGGTTTGGTCCTCTCTCGAATCAGGCCCTTCCGGAAACTTGAGCGGCAGCGATTGACTGGCTCCGTGCCCTGAAAGGGCGTGACTCTCTGAGAGATGCACTTTTGTGCTCTCCCAAGCCGCCAGCACTATATTAGTAGGGAAGAGAAGGCGTGTGGAATTTTCACAACTTAGCCTTCCCATTAATCTTTACGCTTCTGATCAGAACTGAGAAAGCCTTCGTCAAAATCAGCCCCTCCAGGAAGCCTTCAAGAATTGCTACTACTTGTCCTACAGTCCATTTGTAGTGTTTTCAAGTTGTGACCTTTCAGAAGCACATTTCCTGGCCTTTATTGCCTGGATCCTTTGAGCTGGGTAAAACCTCCATTCTTTTGATTTGTTGTCTAGCACTTCACTCTACACTTGCTTACTCAAAGTGCAAAGTAGCTCATATAGCTGCTGGAGATAAAGGGTAAGAATGTAGACGTTTGTCTGATTCCCTCACAGACTGGATTTTTTTGAAAGGTGAAGATTACCTGCACTCCTTACTTGGTGTTGAAAGTAGGGCCTTATGTGCTCTGACTCTACCATAGTACCTTGCAAATAAAAAGCGCTCCACTTTATTAATTTGAATGGAGTTTTTCCTTTTACTTTGCTTCAGAAAAAATATTTGCTTAAAAGAATACAGAGCATTTCTTTAAAATGGATTTAATTTAGTATAGTGGAAAACCACATTAATGTCAAGGATCTGGTGGCAATGTGGCTATTTTATTTCAGGAAATCTTTTCTATCTGTACTTCATCTGTTAATATTCCTGTAAATTGAAAATTAATTTCTTGCTCAAATTTACTATTTTCTCTGGTTTCCTTTGAGGTTAAAATACATGTATAATAAATTCTTTCAGAGCCAAAGTGCCTATAAAAATGTGGAAAAAACCATTCTGCCAGTGAATTAATAAAAAATATTAAAATAATTAATTCAGCCTAAAAGGAATAGAAAAATTCCAGAGAGCAACTGTGCTCAGAATTGGCTGATGGTGAGTGAGGGAGAAACCAAAACATAGGGTTGCTCTTGAGGAGAGGAAATAAAATAATTAAAAATTCTCATTTATATAAGATTGGAACAACTTATAGCTGACCCTCATTGGGTTTCTCAGACTATAACTTTTAGGAGAGGAGAGTGTCCCTCTTTCTTTCAGAGTCACTGGTAGATTCAAACTGCTAGAGGGCTTGGAATTAGTACTGCAGTTCTCTCCCTGAGAATAATTACAGATAACTTTTCTTTTTGACAGTATGCTGGATGGGGGGGATAAAGTTGTTTGGTTTTTTTTTTTTTGTGAGGAAAAACCTTCCCTGTTTCTTAAAATGTAATCTGACCAGTATTTCTTTTGTGGTCAAGTAGCCATAAGTGCTGCAGATAATAACTAAATTATATTCCTGGCTGCTAATCAGCAACCTATGTTATGCAGATGACACAACCTTGCTTGCTGAAACTGAAGAGGACCTGAAGTGCTTGCTGCAAAAGGTAGTCTTCAATACGGATTGAAGCTCAACATCAAGAAGAAAAAATTCTCACTATAGGGAAAATTGGCAGCACCATAATAGATGGAGAAGAGATTGACCCTGTTAACAATTAATTACAGCCTTCTCAACTCCACAATCAACACTCTTAGCACCAGCAGCCAGGAAATCAAAAGATTAATTTCACTGTGAAAATCTTCTGTCAGGGACTTCTCCAGAGTACTGAAAAGCAACCATATCAGACTAGAGACTAAGGTGCACCTAATCCAGGCCATGGTCGCATCAGAGAGCAGGACAGTGACTAAGGATGATAAAGAATAGATGCCTTTAAATTGTGGTGATAGAGAAGAGTCTTGAACATACCATGGACTGCCAAGAAAGCAAAGAGGTCTGTGTTGGAGAGGGCGAAACCAAATTTTCCTTGGAGACTAGGACTGTGAAGCTCCATCTCATATACTTTGGGCATATGGTCAGGAGAGACCGATCCTTGGAGAAGAACATCATGCTCAGAAGGGTAGAGTGACAGCACAGGAGAGGAAGACCCCAGATGAGATGGATTGATACAGTAACTGAGGCAATGGGGATTAGTATGTCAGAATTAGTGTGACTGGCTCAAGACAGGGCAGGCTTGAGAGCTGCTGTACAGAGGGTCACTATGGGTCACAGGTGACTCGACGGCACATAACAACTACAATCTCCCATGAGATTTATAGCCTCTGAAAACCTGCTTTGAGTAAGCTAAGGGTCAGCTATGTATTGGTTTCAATTCCACAGCCATGAATGACTGCATTTTTTAAACCATAGGGTACTATGGAGTTCCTAGGTTCACACTACTAGCCCAAAGACAGCCTATCAGTCTTGGTTCAAATACACTTACAGTTCCTCAGGAGAAAGAGGGCTCTCTCTCCTCCCATGCAATTTTCAGCCTCAGAAATCCAATGGCAGGTCAGGTATGACTCAGTTCTAACTTGACTGTAGCAAGTATCAGGTAATCCAGATTAGTATGCTTCGTGCAGGGCTTTCTTTTATCCTTCCTCCATGTGTTTCTTTGTCCTGTGTGTGTTATTCAGGAAGTCACTCAGACACTTGGTGCCTGAATTTATCTCAAATGAACTAAAAATCAAAATCAGACTCATTGCCATTAATTCAGAACTGACTTAATAACTGTTCCTCTATTTGGTTCCCAAGGCTATAAGTCACATATGAGATGACCATCTTTCTTACTCGCAACAGCTTGTAAATTAGAACTTCTAGAGAGGTGTGACCTTTGAGTTAGCAGCCCAACTCTCTATGCAGTTGGCCACCAGTTGTTGAGAACAAATCTGAACATCAAATCTGAATCAATCCATGACTTGCCAGCAGGTTTTCAGAGGCAGTAAATCTGGTGAGTGGAGATTGCATGGTTTTCTCCTGTGGAGTAGGTACTAGACTCAAACCACATTATCTTTAAGATGGCAGAACACTTCCTTAACACTAAGCTAATAAAAAAATATAAAATATGTCAGAGTATGCAACATATACCAACCATAGTATACTTGTAGTGAAGCCTAAAAGTTCAATAGCACACTGCTGCAGTGCTGTGGTCTCCTGCAGAGAGAGAAAGGGAGAAACAGCTAATAGAATTGTGACTATCACATGAAGTATTCTTATCTGTCATCTTTATGGAAGCATTGCTGGCTTTTCCTTTGAGAAGCCCCTGGTTGGGTTTTAACTGGCAATTTTAAGGTTAATAGCCAAAACCAAACCGTTGCACCACCAAGGGACCTAGTTCATGTATTTATGTATCAAAAATAGGTCTTGCTTACCAATAGCTGTTAGGCAGTTTGCAGCAAAGGTGAGAGAGAATTAAGACTGATGGTGAGAGACTTAGAAACTATCTTTTGTCATTAGATACTGAGACAGATAATGTACTCCTAGGGATAAGGTTTGTTTCATATGTGGCTCAGTTTTTAGTATATGCTCAAATTCCAAAACCTTAAGCACTGAGAATAATAAAAAGCAAAAGCCTAGTGCAAAAAGCTTCCTTTGACACAAACAACTTTTAAATGCTGGGAGTTTTGACATGATAAACAACCCCAGTGTAAACCTTTCAGCAAGATACATATAGGGGACTCTGCCAAACCAAAGCCAGGTGGTTCCAGTCCACCAGCTGTTCCAAGGAATAAAGATGAGCCATTTCCTTCTCTGTGATTTACAGCCTCTGAACAATGAGTGTGGTTGCAGTCCATCTGACTTGAAGGCACGTAACTTAGGGAGCTCTGTATTCTAGTTTTAGAAAGCTGCATGCACTACTAACTCCAAGGCAGTGCCTCTCTGGTAGTGCAAACCCAGCAGCAGCTCTGCAAAAAAGATACACAGTCTTCTCTGGAGCAATTTTTAGCCTCAGAAACCTATTGCAGGGTCAGTTATGAGTCAGTTCCAAATAGACCACAATGTGTAAATGATCAACATCAAATAACACATTGCTGTCAAGAAGGAACCAACTCATAGTTGACCTTCCAGTGAGTTTTCAGAAACTAAATCATTTGGGAGGAAATTGCACATCTCAGTCTACCTGAAGTACCAGAAATAGTTTCTCATAGTCTTAAAGTTCAATGTATCACTAACTGGCAGTGGCAAATGTGTCATTTTATAATGTAATGTTAAGAATAAAATACATTCATAAAAACCTAAGCTTAACATATAGTTCAAGGAAGACAAAACTGAAGAAAGTCAATCAATTCACAGAAAGTCAGTTCTCCGAAAGATGGCTTGGAAAAACCATTGGTTTTAATTTAGTATTTTCTTGAATTTGGGAAATATGTTGCATTTCTAGAAATGTCAAAGTGAAACTAGATATGTGTGCATTTGGAGAGAAAGGACAAACTATAATGAATATTTTAAAGTATCTATGATTATTGACTAATAAAAATAGAAAATCAATCAAGAGTCCAAAATGAGATATTGATAGATCTCAACGGAAATACCAATGATTATTACTACATGAGCTAGAAAGCACTTGACAAATGCAACATTAAGTCCAGGTTTTAAAAATAATAAAATAGGAATCAATGGATTCCTCTGCACAAAGCCAACACCTTTAATGATGGGGAAATATCTATCAAAGTAAACAAGCTTTTGAATGGAAACTGGAACACATTTAATATTTCTTTAATGATAAAAGAATTTCTGGAAAACAAACATAAAGCGGATTTTTTTAAAACATTGCCTAGGAAAGTAAGTGAGATTTTTGAGATCAAGGTATAAAGGAGAGGGAGAGGAATTAGATGTTTCAGAGTTTGCCTTTTTTTAAAGTTTGGTTTTTAAACAGTGACAATGTTTTACATGGTAAAAATAAAATTAAACTAAAAAGAGTAAAAAGTAATATTG